GTCTCAGGAATGGTTTATGTTTGCTTATTTTCGGTAAAATCACAGACTGCTGCTCTCTCCAGATCTGTTTCCTTAGGATTTAGCAGTTCTTGTACTGATGCCCATTCTGTCCTTCTAAACAAGGTCATCTCTCTGGCAGCCTCAGAGCGTCACTATCCTTTATTAGAATACATATGCACTTCTCAGGTATGGAGGATTGGTGATAAAGTCACCCCCACCCTTCATTCTCATGGACACCTGATACTCAGGGTTAGCAAGAAGATGGTGTGTTCAGTCCCTTAGTTGATCTGCACACCATTTGCAAGGATTCCCCTAGTTTATTTTTGTTGTGGACTTTGCATTTCTTAAATAATCCAAGTTCATTGCCCTGTCTCATGCTTTTATGCCCTTTTGTCCTCCTCATCCTTAGGGAAGTCTGGTAACTACTCAGTTACAAGCTCATCTAAAGACCTGGCACTTTTCTTTGAACTTGTTCTTCATTCTCAAAATTGTGTGATATGCCTTTACCATTGAATTGTAAGTTCCATGAGGTTAAGAACCATTTATGACCTGTTTACTGTATGTAGTATTTTATAGCAGGGCCTAGAACATGGTCTGGGCTCAAATAACTATTTTAAAAATTCTATTACTGAAAAAGTGATGTGATATGATATGTAAGTCAAAAGAATTTACCTCTTAATAAGCCAGGGCCTGATGCCTTGTAGCTGTCTGCATTAAATACACAATTATTGACACCTTGGCACATACCATGCCCATCGCACTGGACTGTATTCCTTTTGCCTCTGGACCTACCAGAATTCTGTTCCTTCTTTAAGACTCCATTCGCAGTCACATGTAAGACCACATACATGGGTTGTGCCTTTCACAACTCCCGGGGATGATGTTCTAGGAGGCCACAACATGAATGGTGCCCCCTGGAGGTGTGCAAGCTTAGATGTCTTCTCTACCAGGAAACGTTTTTCAGTGTGGATTATAATCTCCATGGGACAAGGATCTTTGTTCACCCAGCACCTAAAACAGAGACTTGCTGGTAGCAAACAGAGTATAAATATTTGCAGAAGGTATGAATGAGCTCCTCTGTCGCGAAGAGCCATTTGTCCTGTGTGCTTCACACCTTGTCCTTGTTCCTTAGGAAACTTTTTGTATGCAATGGTGTTGATGAACTTAAGTCATAATTATGATCCAGCTTCCAGTGGCTCTGGAACTTGATTGCTCCCCATCCCCCCTGAAATGTGAGGGCCTAGAAGAGCCTGTCATGACAAGATTGAAGACCCTCTGCCATCTCTGCCAGGTGGATCAACTTGCCATGGAAATATGTGGAAATTGTGCACACCCATGTTTTAACCAGCCTGGAAGTTTTACTTCAGGGTGTGGTACATGCAGTTCAGGCCACAAACCATGGTTTCTGAGAAGTACTGTTTTGAGAGTGAAGGCTCTGGAAACTTGGAGAGGAAGTCCAATAAGCTCTGATGGAGGACAGTGATACTCCAAGGCTGCCAGCCCAGCTCCAAACATTAGGCACAGCCACCCACCAGGCACTGCTGGCTTGAGTTGTATGGTAGGGTGGTTTCCCGTGTTTTGAACAGTTAGGAAAAAAGGAGGGCGTCATAAGCTGAAGTGGGAAGATCTCATATTTCCAATAGAACCATCTGGAACAGACGATTTCATGTTCTGTATATTTAGGGGTCTCAGATCTTGCGGAGTTGTTTGTTCTCATTAGCTGTACGGCCCAGGGGTCTATTGCAGTGTTCTGCTTGACAGGACATTTATGGAAAGCTGCCCTTTGTTGACCATGTCATCTCCCAGGATAAGATGTCAGCAAACTGAGCCCCTGGACCCAATCTGGTCTGCATCCTGTTTTTGTAAATAGAATTCAGCGGTGTACATTGGTTACTGCTTTTACTCTACAATGGCAGATTTGAGGAGTTGAAATGCAAACTGGGACACACAAAGTTAAAACTATTTCATCTGAGTCTTACTTGGTAATTTCATTATATCTTGAATACCCTGACTCCAAATACAGTCATTTTCTGAGGTACTGGGATTAGGGTTTCAAAACATGAAGTTTGGGAGGACACAGAGCACCCCAGAATCTCACCATGTGGCCCGTACTCTCTTCCTGTCTGCAGGCCCCACATTCCTATGTGAGACCACATATGGGGGGTGTCACGGTACTAACCCACTGTGGATGATATAGCTGGTCTGCTGGTTGGGCAGGTCTCCTCATCTTGTCCACTTTCTTTATCAGAGGAATTTCAGCTTGGGGTCAAGGGTTCACTAATGACTGTTTCCCTCATTTCAACCTTCAATTAAGTTTTTAACATCAAGGTCAGCCCAGTATAGATAAATCACATAAATACTTCCAATGTGCTACCTTTGTTTTAAAACAAGGGGCAAATGGTTTGTATGGAGGGCTACTTAATAAATTGCTCAACTATAGGAAATTAACTAAGTCCATTATAAAACAGCCAGAGTATGGAAATGTGATATAGTCTTTTAAAAAGTTTGCTGAATAATATTTAATGATCCTGAAGGCTCTGTTCAATATTTTTAAAGGGGAAAAAGGCAAGGTACATTAAAAAATCCATTCACTCATTTAATGAGTGTTTATTGAACATCAGGCACTGTTCTAGTTTAGGGGAGATTCAGTGGTGAGCAAAGCAAAATATTTGCTTCCATGGGGCCTCAACTGCAGTGAGAAACACTGATTAGGTGGTATATGATGCACTGAAGGAAAATAAAGCAGAGCACAGAATATAAGAATGAGCAGGAGAAGCAACTATTTAGCTTGTGTGCGCAGGAAGGCTTCTTGGAGGGGGGTGAGATTTGAGCAGTGACTTGATTGGGGGGCTCAGAGGAAGAGCAAGAAGAGAGGACACGGGTGCCGAGGTCAGGAGGTAAGCGCATGCCCTGAGTGCCTGGAGAAAGTCAGTGGGCCAGGGTGGCTGGAGTGGAGTGAATCAACTGCATGATTTCAATTCTGGAAGAAAAATGGAAATGCAGAGGGGAAGAGGCTATGTGGAGATGTAGCAGGATTCGGACCCTGTGGGTAATCTTTATTCCTTTCCCTTTGGTTTTCTATAATACTCTGAATTTTTCTACCACACATGTTTATTACTTTAGAAAAAGTTTTGGTGTGAGACTTTGCAGGGAGCTCATTACCTTTGCCCTGGAAGTTCTCCGTGGTCCCACTGTGCCAGTTTTTAGACAGCCACTCTGCAACAGAAGAGAACCCCTGACTGGGAAAACCAGAGAGTGCTTGTTCAGATGCACTCCGACAACAGCGCAGCCCCTGGTTTACAGTGAGTGGTGAAGGCGTTAATGTTTCCTCCCAGGGGCGTCTCTCCGCCACCAATATGCATCGGCTGAGTCTAATGACAACCTAATTGGCAGCAGAGATGGGAGCAGATGTCTCGCCTAATAAAAAGCTTTTGTGTCCACGGGTTGACCCCTTTGGGGCTTAGCTGGCCTTCGGTACTGTGTGTGACCCCTGTGAGCAGTTGCGATTAATCAAGCATGTTTGTTGATTGTTGCTTGCAGTGTGAACCAAGTGTACAGAGACACCTGGGCCAACTGAGCATGCTCACAGGCTCTCCCCAGCCCTGGCCTCGGCCTTGTCTTTGTTCCCTCCATAAGACACCACAGGCTGGAATCAAGGGCTTTATTGGCATGGATTCCAAATAGTTCTTGTAACTAGAGTCGTCACCCCACCCCATTTATGCTGTGAGTCCCTGGGGGATTTACAGTGGGTCCTCCATTCCCCAGACCTAAGCAAGAGAGGAGGTTGGTACTGTTTCAGATCTCTTTAACAAAGAGGGGCCATGTGACTTGAAGGGACCTGGCCCGCGTTTCCATCCCCTGGTATCAAGCCCTTGGTCAAGGGCTCCCTGTGTGGGGAGGTTAGGGGGAAAGTGATCTGGGATTCAGATATCCCCTTTCCCTCCTGAATGTGCACCTTCTAGGTAAGGTCAAGGTGATGGTTATCAGCTGGCAAAGGCAGAGGCATTCTGTCTCCCAAAGATCTGGTGGAATTAGCCATGTTGATGAACAGAATATGCTTCTGTTAAGAGAATAGTCCCTTTATGTTGACCTGAGCAACCAGCGATCAGAATTCAGGTGTGTTGTAATAAGAGAAGCAGGAAGCAGGAATCTCCACAAGGAGAGCCCTTCCCTAAGAAGGAGTATCTTGAAAAGTTTGTATTCTGTGATCCCAAGACTAAAGTTCCTAAGTAGTCAAGGAAGAAAGGAAACAGATTCCATGGTCAAATGGATCTGGCCCTCGCTTGGTCAGATGAGTTTGGAAAAAGTGCTTTGCTTCAGGCCTTACCAGAGCCTTCAAGGTACAATATAATTAATGGAAGTGTGTTAATTGGACTCAATCTTCCTTATGAAATAATTGTATTGGGCAGAATACTGGTCAATGTTTAGGGAGAAATTGAAACAACTGTCTTTTATTTTCTTCTGATTTTTGTTACTTAGTGTTTCATGACTTTCTAATAAAAGAAAAAAAAAGTTCGAGTCTGTGGGGAGGGTTCCCCATGAGCCTCACCAGCTATAAATGTAGTTTTCTGAGTCGTTCGTGGGTTTTTTGAACCAGTGGACAGACAGATAGGAAATGGAAAGGGAAGGACTCATCACCACGATGTTCTCAAGATTCCCGTTGCTTCCCCTCTGCTCTATTTTTACTATTGGGTGATTCTGGGCCACTTCCTGTTATTTTTACACTTATTGTTGTCAGAGGAAGCCAATTCATTTCAATATCAGCCCGAGCAAAACATTTAGGACATTCTCCTCTGCTACCAAAAAGGAACCATGTATGTGCTGCTTTGCATTCCAAAGCCCAGCACTCAGACAAACACAACCAAACAAAAGGAAAATAAGCCAAACACACTCCCCCCCACACACACACACGCACTGGCACACACACACACGCACACACACTCACGCATGCATGCATACACGTGCAGAGTGGAGGAATTCTCTCCACACAGGGCCAAACATCCTGCCAGGCCCCTGAGATCCAGTCCCTCCAAAACAAAGCAGCCTGAAAATAGAAAACTTACTAGGCTTTTCCCTGCCTCCCTTTTTATCTTGGAAGAGGAAAGGGAAGAGGTGACAGAGAAGAGGAGAGAGGAGAAGACGGGCCAGGAAACAGCACGGAGCCCTGGAGCATCATGTGACCGCAGGCTGAAAGCGGAGCCGCGGGCGTCTTGCCCGGGTCTCTCAGATGCCCAGGGACACCGCTGACCTCCTCCTGTGCGCCGGAGCCTCTGAGGGCTGGAAAGTCCATCCATCTCCTCGTGTGCCCAGGCTCCTCTCCCTCTCCTCCTCGTCCCACCTCCCTTCCTAGCAGAAGTTCCCTCTTATAGTCATGCGATGGCCACTCACCTGGGAAGGACCAGCATCTGCCGGGCATGCAGCAGAGGTGGTGTTTGAGTCAGCTGTTTTGCTGCTGTGATCGAAAGACCAGACAAGAGCCATTTTAGGGGTGGAGAAGTTTATAAGCCACTTATGGTTTCAGAGGTCTCCGTCCACAGACAGCTGACTCCATTGCCCTGGGCCAGAGGTGAGGCAGAGCATCATGGGGGAAGGGGGTGGGGGAGGGAAGCAGCTCAGGGCAGGACAAAAGGAAGGAAAAAGAGAGGGAGGGAGAGAGAGAGAGAGAGGAGAGTGAGAGAGAGAGATACCTGCTCACCAGGGACGGAATATAAACCCCCGATGCACGCCCCCAGTAACCTACTTCCTCCGGTCCCACCAGGGCTGCCTACAGCTACCACCCAGTTAGTCCATTCAAGTGGGTCAATGCACCGATCAGGTTAAGATGCCCCAAACCCAATCATTTCACCTCCAAACTTTCTTGCGCTGTCTCACACGTGAGCTTCTGGGGGACACCACATCTAACCCTAACAGATGGGGAAGGGGAGAGAGAGGAGGACCAGGAGGGGCAAACCCACAGGGAGCTCCAGCTTGGGCCAGGCCATGCGAAGTCTCTTCACAGTTCCTCTTAACACTCTGAGGGAGGTGTAGTTCTCAGCCCTGTTCTGTTCAGGAGGACACCCTAGAGAGGCTGAGGAACAGGTTAGACGGTTTGGAGGCAGGATTTAAATACGCACAAGCTTGCTAACATCTAAGCCAATGTTTTCAGCCACCCTCCTACTGTGCTCCACAAAGTCCTCAGGGGCCCACACTCCTTCCTGCTCATCTCTGTCCAATCCAGAGGGATGAGTCTTGCCTTCATGGTGCCATGTGGCAGCTAGAGCCCCAACCATCAATCTGCATTCCAGGCTCAAGATGAAGGTCGAAATAAGAAGAAACTCATCAAAAGCAGCACACTGCCTGTCTTTTAAAGGTGAGTTTTTCAAGTGTCCCCGGTCACCGCGATTCCACTTGTTGTCCATTGGCCAACTTTAGTCTCAGGGCTTCTGCCTCCTCGCAGGAGAGGCGGAGAGGCTGGGACATAGGTTCTTTATTCTGCGATGCCATGTGTCCAGCTAAAAACGTGGGTTTTCCGTTGTCACACAAGGAGGAAATGGACACAGGGGCACAGTACACAGGGTCTGCGTGAGCAACTCTTTCAAAATGAAAGTCAGATCCTGTTCTGCTTAAAACTGTGTCCAGTCGTCTGAGTGTGGACACTCAGGCTAGAGGCCAGAGCCTTCGCAGTGCTCCCTAAGGCCTTGGGCATCTCCCCGCACCCTGGCCTCTCTGACCTCATGCCAGCCTCAGGCTCTGCCCCCAGGTGTCTGCTCATCTCAGCCTCCTAGGTCTCAGCAGCCCTTCCTCTGGGCCCACCCCATCCATTATCTCCGTCTGATCCCACCTGGCCATTCTCTGTTGGCTCACATAAAGGCTTGTGAACTCGTTCTCCCGTTAGAATAGGAGCTCAGTGAGATCCAAGCTTTCGTCTGTTCCATTCACTGCTTTGCATCCGCGGGACCTTCAACAGCGCCAGGCACGCTGTGGGGATCCAATAAACAAGTGTTGAATAGACGAAGGATGGATTGAATAAAGTCCCGCTTTGCCGATCTTCCAGAACTTGGGAGAGAATGAATGCAATCTAAAAGGGCTTTAAAAGTAGGAAGAAGAGTCAAAGATCAATTACTCTGCTGGTCTTTGATGTCCTCCCACTCGTAAAGACACCCTGTTAACGGGGAAATAAGCCGCGTGCTGTTGGCTATTACTGTTCTGAGGTGAGCACGGTGGGAGAGAATTGCCAGTCATTTCTTCCCAAAGCACCAGTACCATTTGTTCTCAATCCAGTCCTGCCCCTGACTTTAGTTTTGGATGAATGCAGCTTTGTGGCACATAGTTCCCTAATATCTCACTTTGATGGTTTATTGCATCTTAAGTAGCATGGAATTGAAGTCTGGGACTATATCAGGCTGATTTCAGGTCGTCTTTTCTTCTCTTTGTGTCATCACAGTTGGGGAGACTTGTCAAGCTGTGTTTGGCCAAGTTAAATGAAGAGACCAGATGGCCCGAAAGAAAGGAATTTGGGTCCAGGTTGAGGAGGAGAAAGGCTGGGGGTCGAAACTCCTGCATAGTTTTTGACCAAAGATCAGAACCACTCTCAGTACTGGGGGTACATTACTGAGTGCTAGTGTACCCCAGCAGAGTTTTACAAGACAGGCGTTTCTTTTTGTGTGATTAATCTCCTAGAACTTTCTGCCAAAACTTCGGAATCCCTTTGCTGTGCTGGAGTTTTAATTATACGTGGTTTTTAGTTTCCAGAGACAGAGAGCATTGATGTATGTCGAACACAATGAAAAGAAAAAAGAAAAATCAGGAGATAAAGAAATCACTTTGGGATTTTGCTTTTGGTGGGCACTTTTAGGAAGAGAGAAAACAAAACCCCAAATTGGAGAAGAAAGGATGGGAGGAATCGAGAAGGAAGTTTTTAAAAAGACCTTTCCTGCCCTGTACAGAAAAGGCGGCTGGCACAGAATCCCAGCTCCAAGCTGGATTGAGAAGTGGCATCCTCCACCGTCTGGCCCCGCGCAGGGTCAGGAGGCAGGAGAGAGGAAGTCAGACGGCAGAAGGTGGCGGGCATCCAGACAGGAAGCAGGCCTAGTGTGAACAAGTGTCTTTGTGGTAGGGACAGATGGAAAAAGAGACTTTAGAGAAATACTGCTGAGAAAGGATACGCCTGGATTCCTAATGTCCTCTGCTGCAGCGTTACATCGCAGCTGGTGCTCAACAGTCCTGTTTTCTTTTTCTTTCTTTCTTTTTTTTCTTTTTTTCTTTTTTTTTTTTGCTGTGCTCCATATAAAATGGCTAGGCTTCTGCCCTGCAGCCTGACAGTGTCAATGTGACCCCAAGGGCAAGATGATGACACACCACGCAAGGGAGAGCTGGAGCGCCAGATGGCCAGGGTTGGCTGAACTTTTCCAGCTCCATTTGGAACGTCTCTGGCGTGCCAGGTGAACCAATTGCCAGGTGGCAGGTCTGCAGTGAAGATGGTACATCACTCACATGGAGCCTGTCTCACTCAGATATTCTAACAATCCGATGACATAAATACGCAATGAACTATGGTCACCTTGCAAAGAAGAGAGGACAGAGGATCAGCAAGAATGGTCACTGAGCTAGCAAATTGTAAAACCGAGATTGGAACCTGGCTCTCTGTTTCCTGTTGAGTGCGTTGCTCATGGGTTGAGTTATCAGCTCTGATTGGGGTGCACTCTTCTGGATGCCGGCGGGTGGGTGGTGGTGAGGAGCTGGACAGATGTGACCCTTCTCCTTGGGGCTCTTCTAATCTAAAAAAGGGAGACAGGGTGAATGCAGAGAAATAACTGGATATTCAGGCACATCTGCATGTCCCAAGGGCTTGTTGGAAGCTTCAGCAAGCAAATCTCTGGGGTTTTGAAAAGATTCAGAAAACTGACTCATTGGTTTGGCTGTTGGAGGCTTCTCCAGATAATTGGAACTATGTTCAGATTTAGGCCAAAAGATGCATTTGACTGGAGAGAAGGGACTTGGGATTGAGATTGGAGCCGTTGTCAGCAAAGAAATTAAACAGCCTGAGAAAATTTTCCAGGGTTGATTTTTCTACATAGATAATGAGACTTTTCAGACTTGTCGTAACTGGGATCTTGATATAGAGAGGTGTCTGGAAAATGTTGCCCTGAATGTCATTTGGCTTCCTTTTCACAATTTTCTTGGTATGGCATATGATAAATTGCGAATGGCTGGTTTCTTGGAATATCAGTGACATCCAATTCTCCATGATCCCTCAAAACCAGGGATAATAAATGGGCAAAAAGAAGATGGAAGCATCACACTAAATTGAAGTTTGACCTTGGGTTTCCCTGTCTCTTGTCCTGAGCCTGGGCAAATTCCTGGTGCAGAAATGGTCAGCAGGAAGATATCATGTGACACAAACTTATATGACATAGTAGACTCAGTATCTGGTAAAAAAAAAAAAAATCCTGATTCTTCTTTGGACAACCATCCCTGTCCCAGTGCATTTAGTCTTCAGGGTCTGGCCACCATGTCCCCCACTTGCTTCTGACCAAGAGATGCCTAAAACTCAAGCAAGGTCAATCCTCTCTCCTCAGAGCTGATCCTCGGGCAGAGCAACTTGCAGGTTTGAAGCTGTTCACTCAAGTAGACAGCAGTTCTCTGGAGAATCTGCCCATTAGAGTCAGCTCCCTAGATACCCCAAGCCTGATTCTCCAACTCTGCCCTCTGCTCTCGCAACTATTTCCTTGACTTCATCCAAACTTCTCTTTCACTGTTGGACAAAGTTTCTGTTGTTTGCCAACAAAAAGCCCCAAAAGGATGGACCAGGGAAGCCATAAGCATCTTTGCAGGGATAGGTCTGCTTCTGTCTGTCCTCTGAGCCACCCTAGAGTGTAAGAACCTTGCCCACAGACCATAGCTCTCAAAAGCAGAATGTGTAACAGCAGGAGGCTGGAATGAGGGTGGGGGTACAGTAAAACATAGCTTCTATTTCAGAAAAATGACCAACAATCAATCGCCCTTGACCTTCATGTCCAACTGTGAGTGTGACATTAATTACAAGGCTGATTTAAGTCTCAGCAGCAAGTTTACATGCTGGAGGTTCAATACTATATCTAGCTAAATGCAGACTTTCTATTTCTTGTTTTATTAGAAGCCAAAGAAGCAAAATATATTTCTTATTTCATTATGATCACATTTGCATCCTGAAGACTTATAGTAAATGATTAATACAGTAATGGGACGCCTAGAAATCTATAATGTCCTTTGTTAAAGAGTTGGCTTTTATATCTATGGTATGAAGCTCATGTTCTTTGACATTGGTAGAATATGTCACAAGAGAAACTGGCTAACATTTTACTAGAGAAGGAAAAGTTGGCCGGAAGTGAGGGAGAATCTCACAGCACTGGAATCGCATGAGAATCTGCAAACTAGACCAAGGTGACGTGTGAGTGCCATTGTTTAGTGCTAGAGGAGCTGGAACCAGGCAGGACGGAGGTTCTGTAGGGAGCTGCAGGTTTGGGATTCAGATGGGACCAAGTTCACCTTCCATTTATGCATTTCCTTTTGGTAGAGTTCTAGGCTGTCTGCTCTGAAATTCATGACTTAACCACCGAAGCGTGTCTCTGCATGTGAAGCACGATTAGCTTATTTTAATATACTAAGGAAAAATGCCAATGAGAAGATGAAAGATCAGCAATGGAAAACTTTAGCAAAAAATAATGATGTTTAACAGAATTGATTTTTGGAACTGAGGACTTAAAAGATTCAACCTATTTCTGTCTACTCTTTCTGGCCCCAGGTGTCGATCACTCTGATCGGCACACTCACTGCTAACACCTGTGGTCTTGTACTACTGACCTGGGAACTCACTCTTTCTCTGTGTCTTTCTGGAAATAACCTTTTGTAATCGTAACCAGATTATGAATTGTATCATACAGGGTTCAATCAGGAATGTAGATCCACAGTGAATACTGTGGGAATCAGACCTCTGGAAAGAGTGAAAGACCCTGGGAAAGGGCAGGAATGAAAAAGAAGTCTCTCTAAGCAGTCCTCCCAAAGCACAGGTGCAGGGGACAATCTGGCCCTTGCAGGGAGCTGAGGAGCTGGGGTGCTTCTTTCAGGGGACAGTGAAGGAGAAGTCCTTCTTGGGAACTAGGGAATTGATGTTTCCATGTAGCTACAGAATCTTGGGTCCACGGTTGAGCATTTGGCAGTCAGAAGGTTAGTAATTGAGAATTAAAACTGGACACAGAGCCAAGAAGACCAAGGACAAGCTAGGACTCCCTGGGGAACCTCTGTATCTGGGCAGAACCCTATCTGACCGAGATGTCAACCTGCTGAGAGTAATGCTAACTAACTGCTTTATTTCCACCTCTCTTGAGCAAG